CAGACTGGCTGAGAGTGAACCCCAGGGGTCCAGCTGCTTCTGCCTCCCCAGTGCTGGGATTATAAATGTGTACCGCCATGCCTGGCTTTTCACATAGGTACCAGTGCTTAGAATTAAATAGATCCTCACGACTGTGTGACAAGCACATCACTGACTGAGTCATCTCCCCAGTCTCCCCTCTTCTGTTTTTACCAGGAACCTCTTAGCGGGGGTTCTACCCAAACCAGAAGAATGTTCCAATGCTCAGCACCCCAAACAACCCTTCATCCGATTCCCACCAGGACAGCGGTTGTGGATGGCTTCAGCACCACATCCGACACACAGTGAGCGCCTAGAAAACAGTGGTTATTATTCTCCTTATGAACAATGCCATCCAGGAAGCAGCAGCCTGGGCGAGCTCCACACCTGCTGCAGATATATTCCAGGCCACTCTTCCTGTGGGGTGATTTAAGCTTCCTTTATGAACAGAGACATAAACCAAGCTAACACATCCTCCAGACAGAAGGAGGCTGGCATGCCTTCAAATTGGTCACTAAAGCGTGTCCTAAATTGGGAAGAAATCAAAACAGATTGCATCTAATTTCTCACTGTTCCAAGCAAGAAATTACCTTTTTAAGTGAAACGCCGTGACTCTCAAGCTGTTTGCAAACAGGTTTTGTGTCTGTGCGTGTGCTTGTGTGCACGTGTGTGTGTGAAATGTCTTGTCTTCAGCTGGACTTGGCTCTCTGAAGTAGGCTGTCTGCTTCCACGAGCTAACTGGGTTTTGGGCGGGAGGATGGGGGGGAGTCACAGGGAATCTACCTGTCTCGTTTTCCACGTTATGAGCTTGGTGAGCCTCGGTCACCCCACAGATAGGTGAGTGGGTTTTTAAATGCAAAGCCAGAGGTTTTTGGCCAGGCAGACCCGGGTTCAGATCCTGACTCTACTGCTGGGGACTTTACCTCTTTCTTTACATCTTGAAAACCAAGCAAAGCCTTATTTACCTCGTAGACTCAGCAGAGGCCCCAGAAGCTGTGGATTCCACTTGGTGCTGCTGTAGCCCGGGAGATTCCTTTGTATAAATGAGAAACTCCATCCCTTCTTTGGAAGATGTGTCTGGGGCTGTGGTTTGCGGCCCACTGTGCAGATGCCAGCAGGACTTTTATCCCTTCTGCCCTGCCGTCCTTTTGAAGCTCCTATGCAGCATGCAACCTGAACAACTGTTCCCAGGTCCCTGGTTATTTATCTAAGCCCCGCCCCCTCTTCCTTTCCCTCTCCACTTTCTCTTTCTTTTATTTAGTTTGTGTGTGTGTGTGTGTGGGGGGTGTATAGCACATGTGTACATGTGGGGGCGGGGGGTACATGTCACACAGAGACCAGAGGAGGATATCATGTGTCCTACCCCATCACTCTGCCTTATTCCCGAGAGATGGGGACTTAAGAAAATCTGAACTAAAAATAAATGTCTAGGGTGCTGGAGCGAGTTTGCTGATAAGCGTGACCCGAGTTCAGACCCCAGCACTCACATAACAGCCTATGATATGTAACCCCATCTCTGAGGAGGACAGGGACTGGAGGGTTGTGTAGGTAGAGTTTTCCTGCCTGGCCCACAGTCAGGGCAAATCTCTCTCACCTGCCAGTCCCACAGCCGTCAGACCCGACCAAGTAAACACAGAGACTTGTATTGGTTTCAAACTGTATGGCCATGGCAGGCTTCTTGCTAACTGTTCTTTCAGCTTAAATTAATCCATTTTTATAAATCTATACCTTGCCACATGGCTCGTGGCTTACCGGCATCTTCACATGCTGTTTCTCATCGTGGGGCTGGCAGTGTCTCTCTGCCTCAGCCTTCCACTTCCCAGCTTTATTCTCCTCCTTGTCCCGCCTACACTTCCTGCCTAGCCAATGGCCAGTGTTTTAATTATTGACTAATCAGCAACACATTTGACATACAGAACATCCCACAGCACTTCCCCCCTTTTTTTTAAAAAAAAAAAAAGGAAGGTTTTAACCTTAACAAAGTAAAATTACATATAATTTGGGAATTTGGGCGTAGCTTCTCTTACTACTTCCTGCTGGAGGGGGGCGCTGTATCTTATGGGGATACAAAGAAAATTTTAGGATTATGGAATAGTCCATGAGGCTGTATCGTCTGAGCCAGTTGCCTTGAAACCATTCTGGATGTTGGATCATCTGGGCCATGGTGTCATAGGAGACCTTTCAGGGGGTCTTGGCTGGTCAAACCTGATGTATCTTAATCTTGAACAAATCCATAGCCTCTGGCTTTCTGTGGAAACAAAAGCAGAGTCTCCTTTCCAAAGTAACATATCCTTATATCCAAATTTTGAAGTCAAGGTACCTTTAAAATATACATTTTGGCATAACTCAACAGCTTTTACAATCAAATATTTTTCTGCAGTTAAAAGTCCCAAAGACAACACAATGCAGATTCTCTGTGTAATATCCATTTTTATGTGGCTTATTTTTTATACTACCTTTACTGTCTCTTTAAAGACTTTATTTTTTAAAACTATGTATTTATTTCTATAACTCTATATATCATCTTTTTTGTCTCTTTCAAGCCTACGTATCTTTTACACACATTGTAAACTATTACATCTGAATCTGTCTTATTGTGAATCTATTGCCTTAAACTGCAGCAGCTGTGGCTGCTGGATCCACCCACCTCAGCTTCCCAACATGGCCATGGTTTACCGCCAGCTCTGGGAGCTATCGGGGGTCTATGCTTTTAGCCAAGCAGCGTGTAGCCCAGAAACCTCCCCTTTTGCTCTGCACCAGCAAAGGCTAAATCCACTATGCAGCTCAAAGTGCCACTTGCAAAGGCCTCATTCCCGCCATAGGCAGGTCGAGCACGCACGCTAGGAACCCACCAGTAGCTCAAACCAGCAGCTGCCGCTCATTTGAGAGAGACAATTAGGAACTGTTTTTAGCTCCGTTTTAGAATCTTTTCTCAGGTTTTTAGGTGGAAACTCTTGCCACCACGTTGGGCGCCAGGGTTGCGCTGAGGCTTACTGACTGATAGCCTAGTTAAAAATCACACACACACATACACACACGCATGCACATACACATGCACACACGTACACTCGCACGCAGCATGCACACTGTGGATGTGTTATGCAATTTAATACAGCATTTCTATTCTTGTAGGCACAGTTCTATGAGTGAGGGGCTTACAAAACACCCTGGCTGCCGGCTAGCTGTAGGGACCCTTCTGTCTTTACACCCCTGTGCAGAGATTAAAGACGTATACCATCACACCTGGTTTCCCATAAGGTTGGGAACTGAACTGTTCTTCCCAGCCCCAGATACGTGATTCCTAATCCTGACAGCACACAGTAGAAGCAACATTTTAATCCCCATTTTATTTGTGAGGAAAGGGAGACCCAGAGATATTGCTCAGTGTCCAAGCCAGTTATTTTTGCTTTAATGTCTGCATGGCTTGATTTTTCTTTTTGTAAAATATCATAAAATAGCTAGCCATGGCGACTCATGCCCACAACTCGGTGCTCGGAAGGCTCAGGCAGGAGACACTGGAGTCCTAGGCCAGTCTTGACTACAGGATGAGGCTGTGTCTCAGCTCTTCGTTTACCCCAAGTTAGAAAATGTACATAAGAATGACATGTTCATTTAAAAATGAACGTTTAGGGTAGCATACAAAATAATGGATTTCAATATGGAATTTCCATGTGTATTTTTTCTTCTTCTTCTCCATTCCCACTGCAGTTCGCATCCCCCTGACCTGGCTTTCCGGTCCCTTCTTCTCTCCAGGAGTTAACCCCCATTCTGTCCCCATGCCTCATATAGTCTATCATCTCTCTCTTTCCTGCCCAATTCCCTCCTCCCATAAGAGTTCTTCCATGTCCATGGTCCCTTGTCTAGTTAGGGATTAGGCATATCTAGAAGACCCTTCTTCTCTCCTTCCCACTCCCCATTCCAGTGACAATGTACAATGCCTGTGTGTGTGTGTGTGTGTGTGTGTGTGTGTGTGTGTGTGTGTGTGTTTTCATAGTCTTAGCACCACAAATAACACATCTTCATAGGATAGGAACCCACGCCTGGATATAAGAATAAGGAGTCATATACCAGAGAGAACCCTGGAGAACATGCTGCTGTGTTTCCTTCCTGCTGAGTTGTCTGTCCGTGTGTGTGTCCATGTATGAGTGTATGTGAGTTTATGTGTAAACGTGTGAATGTGTGTATCTGTGTCCATGCATGTGTATATATGTGTGATTGTGTCCATGAGTGTGTGTGTGTGTGTGTGTATGTGTGAATGAGCATACTTGTATGTATCTATGAAAGTACCTGTGAATGTGTGTGTCCATGGGTGTATGTGTGTGTGAGTGTGTGTACTTGGGTGTATCGGTGTGTCTGTCCATGAGTATGTATGTATGTGTGCATATTTGTATATATGAATGGTGTGTATATGAATGGCTGGCACTAGTTCGCTGAACTCCTGGAAGAATATGAAGCTTGACCCTTCACCTCACAGGCTTCTCTTGTTGCTATGACAATGGAACTGGAAAGGAGATGAGATTAAATAGGAAGCTTTTCTTGGGGCGATGCTTAGGTGCCCCTTGGTTCCCTGACGTTCTGAGCACTCTTTTAGATCTTAGAGGCTTCCTGCTTCTGGCTCCACACTCCGATTGCCTGCAACTACTTTTCATCCCAGACTCTCTCCCTGTGTCCTGAGTTTGAGCCCCCTCAGTGCCTGACACAGGTCTAAGAGAAAACGATGGTTGAATGGGGGATACACAGTGGAGCTGTGGGCCTGGAGATGGGGACTGAGGGCCGAAGAAGTCCTTTTCAGCTCTGTGAGAGAAGAATGCCCCAATGCTCAGGCTACTGTGAGGATTAAGCACAGTGACTGACATCAGGCACCTACCACAGTGCCCAGTGAGTGACAGCTCTCGCCATAATCCCCTCTCACCTCTCTCTTTTTTTTTTTTTTTTTGGAGACTTGCGCCAGTAATGCTCTGTCCACATGCACACGTTTGCTGGAGGCAGAGGAGAAAGAGGCCTCCTGCCTGCTCTGAGTCCCTCATTCTCCGATGCCCAGGGGACAGTTCACAGACACCGTGAGGCCACCTCTTCATCTCTGCACTGCTCAACAGTTTGCTTCCAGCCTCGCCCCTCATCACTCTCCCCTTCCCTTAAAGTTGTCTCTTGTCCTTCTGCCTGTCCTTCCTAGAAATGCTAAACGGTGAAAACATCATGGTGAACACAGTTACACCTGCTGGGACATTTGATCAGATTTCACAAACGGCATCCCAGAGTTGGTACATCTTGCCGGACAGAGCACGTCCGCCTAGTTCCATCCTGTGGACTGGGGCACAGATTCCTTCCACTGCTGTAAAAGGGGGCCATGTAAGTAGCTGTGGATGAGCCAAGGCCTGTGGCCATCATCTCCAGAGCGGCTCATGAATGAGGAGAGTTGTGCACAGGCCGGTTTACAGACCCACTTTACAGATGGAGCAACAGGCTGAGATGAATTACTGGGCAGAAAGCCAATTTGGAGGAAACTGGCTTGAAACAAAAGGTGCAGCTCTCGTCTCAGACATTTGTGGTCATTGTGAAAACATTGCACTTGCCCCGTTGGGGACCTGGGTGTTAATTTTGGTTTTAGGCATACATGTCAAGTGTTCTGTATGACAACATGCCCTGAGGACTCACTGGGTACAAAATGGGAGCATGAGACAAAGGACAGGAAAGAGTTTTCTCTGATAATTAAAAAAAGCACCATTTTCCAGTCCTGACAATGTCTATATTGCATAACTCAGGCTTTGTACAAAAACAGGAGCTGTCTTCAGTTGATAAATGATGTGGGCACATTTTAGCAAATTCTCTAAGAGAACCGAAACTGTCTGAACACAACCTCAAGGAAATGAGAGAATGCCAAAGGTGATGGTGGTGATGATGATGGTGGTGGTGATGATGATGGTGGTGGTGGTGGTGGTGATGATGATGGTGGTGGTGGTGATGATGGTGATGATGATGGTGATGGTGGTGGTTATGATGGTGGTGGTAATGATGGTGGTGGTGGTAGTGATTATGATGATGATGATGATGATGGTGATGGTGGTGGTAATGATGAAAATGCTGCTGATGGTGGTAGTGATGATGATGGTGGTGGTGGTGGTGGTGATGGTAGTGGTGATGGTGATGATGATGATGGTGGTGATAATGATGATAATAATGTTGGTGGTGATGGCAATGATGATGGTAATAATGATGATGGTGATGATTATTATGATAATTACTCATTGTAATCAACATATTAAATATAGTGCTACTTCAAACTCAGATACTGATAATTTTTCTTCATGTTTCAGATGAGGAAACCAAACCTCAGAGAAGCAAAGTGACCTTCCTGATATCACACAGCTGTTAGGAGGCAGAGCTGAGATTTTAACATGTGGGAGTGCAAAGCTCACTATCGTTATATTATAGTCTCAGGTCCTGGCCTAGTTCCCACAAATCCAGTGAGATGTTGAGGCACAAGCTCTGCCCCCGGGAAGGTCCCCCACTGAACCGTGGGTCATACACAAGTCAACAGCACATGCCCAGTGCTCTCCAGTAAGGAAACGACCCACAGTTCGTGAGAAGACATCGCTCTGTCTTAGATCTCACTTTAGTTTCACCCATCTGAGATCTCCAGGTGTACCTTCCCTAACCCAAATGGTGCAGAACGCTCCACCTCTGACAGCATCGTGGCTGAGACCTGAGCTCGGATGAACAACCCTCTGCATTTTGAGGCTGGTGAAGTCGTAGACAGTCTCGGTTCTCAGCTACACTGGCTTCCCCAACCCACCCTGAGGTTTAGCTTCAAGAAGAATGAGGAACAGGCCCCCTTCTCCCATCACCGTCCACCTCAAACGAGCAAGATGAATGCAGCAGATGTGAACCTCCTGAGATGACAGTCCCCAGCCAGCCCCTCATCTGAGGACAAAGATCCTGCCACCCTGCTCTGGGTCTTTCACTTCCTCCCTGGGCCAGGTGCTGTCCAGGACTGAGCTGACCATGTGCAGACACCTTAAGAATTACCTCTGAAATTCTAGTTAAGCATTCTTCCATACAAACAGTTCAAGACAGGGGCTAGCATTTGTCGAGTGCCTTTTAGATGCTGTCCACACACAACACTTTCTCTGAATAATTTATATGTGGTATTAGCTACTTTTGTTCCCACCCCCCCACAGCTCTTGGATAACCATCAGACAGATCCTTCCTGATTCAGAGTGAATGCCGGACAGTCTATTTTTCTCACTTGTTTTATTTGTAGGTAAGAAAAATGTCTTTGACATCTATTAGGGTTTTAATCTAAAAATGTCCCTGAAAGGCTTGTGGGTTAAGGCCCTACTGCCAGCTCATGAGCTTTTGAGAGGCAATTGGATCATGAGGGCTCTAGCTTCTAACTTCATCAACACATCAATCAGCTGTTGAGTTCATAGATGAATGAGCTGTTGTGAGATGGGGCCTGCCTGGAGGAAGTCAGTTACTGGGGATGTGGCTTTGAAGGGGATATCTCATTGGTGGACTCTGTTTTCTGCTCCCTGGCCATCACAAGGTGAACAGCCCTCTTGTCTATGCCCTAAACTACACCTGACCCACCATGATGCTCACTCTACCTCCGCACAGACCCATGGAGCAACGGAGCCAGTCAACCATTGACACAAATGCTCTAAAACCATGAGGCAAAGTGAGGCTTCTTCCTCTTGAGATGATCACGGAGGTCTTTCTGTGGCTCTAGGAGACTGACTCAGAGGCTATGGAGTGGTGAACATGCCCTGCCCACTGTAATGGCCCAAACTACTCCAGTGGTTCACTTGCTCAGATTTGCTGCTGGCAGATGCTGCAGTGGGAGTGGATGAGGCCAGTGTCTTGCATTTCTCGAGTGATGGTGTTACCCTCAGATTCACTCCACATGTTGTCAAGGGCGCTTAGAAAGACAATGCCTCTGTGTATGGAGGCCGTGGGAGGTGGGTGCTGCAGGATGTCTATCACTCTCTCTGAGAATTTTTGCGAATGTTGGCACTTTCTGTCATCTGTGAAACATGACAAAACATTTGTAGAAACTGGGGTAGGGATGGGGTCACCTCACCTTCAGGGATGCTCCAGGTGGCATGTGGGTGTTGTCTTTTACATGTTAGAGAAAAGGCTTTCCTCTGGGATTTTTGCAAACTCGCACAGATAAGCACACCCCAGAATGTGATTGTATTTTTGCAACACCCCCCCTTCCTAGGTCACTGCATGGAGTACACACATGTCATTTTATTAGGGTGCATAAATCCCTCCCCTGTGGTTCACTTGACAAGAGAGCACCCCTCTCCCTCCATCTCGCTCTCTCTCTTTCCGTATCTCCAGAGCTGGGTATTGAATCCAGGACCCTGTGCATGCATGCTAGGTGAATGTCCCTGCCATTGACCTATGCTCCCTCTCTAGTAACTACGTCTGGACATGGTTCTTCAAAGCCCAAATCCACCGTCTCTCATCACCCCTCCAGAAGACTAGGCAAAGTGTCTCTTACATACCTCCAGCTAGCTTTCTTGTTTATGCTCTCTCTCTCTCTCTCTCTCTCTCTCTCTCTCTCTCTCTCTCTCTCTCTCTCTCTCCCCTCTGATCCCTTTTTTTCTCTCCCATAGAGAACACTAGCTTTTCCTGATGACAACCCACATCAGTCAGTTGTGGGCTCCTGACATCTTGGGCAGGAGTGTGACTCCAGCCCACAGGCATCTTCAGTCTGTAGGGGCGTAGCATCCATCAAAGCTTCCCACTGCTAGGCTTCAGGTGAGTGTCGTATATCCTTTTGCTACCTCTTGGGGCCGGGGATAGACAGTGTCAGGACTGTGAGAAATCCTCCCTTCGCTCCTTGTCCCACACTTCAACTTAAACTCTCATATACCATAAATAAGATGAAAGGCCTAGGCTAGGGCTGAGATGAAACAGATTCCACCCACCTTCTTTGTCAATCATCTTGGGAGTACTTTAAACATCAGAAGACTTGGTATTTGAAGCTATTTCATTTTTGATTTTCTTAGGGAACCCAGCCCAATGGAGACACCATGTTTCATTTTTAACGCCAGCAGTAGAGATGGTCAGTCCTGCTAGGGCTCACACATCAGTGCTGGAAGGCCAGCATCCATCTCTCCTCTCCACCCCTGTGTACCTGGGTGCTTCCTCTGAAGACAAGGAAGACATGCCTGCCATTCCTAAAGTGAAATTAACACACACACACACACACACACACACACACACACACACACACACACATCTTCTGAGCAGCCATCCACAAAAGGCTTATGGGAGTGTGTAGATTAAATTCCCAGCTCCTAATGCCTGAGTTAGAACACTGCCTCTTTCTCCAGAACTTCCATGAGGTTATACCCTGTACCTGCAGGGGTGGGTGGCTCATTAATGAACGCTTAGTCGGCTTATTGCCTTCATTCTCCTCTATCTCTTTTATCCCCTGGCAAACAGACAACAAGCATTTCAATCCTTACACCGTCTGGAGAAAGCAAACTAAGACACAGTCTTGTTTATTCATGCGATGTCCCTGGTCCCTTGAAAACCCTCCGTCTTCTCCTAACCTTGGTGGAGTGCTATCAGATCTTCTCCATGGAGGAAGCAGGGTCAGAGGATGACGCAGGTTACCCAGCACACATGAAAGACTAGGATTCAGCTTCAGAGCCCCTATCAGCCCCGATGATGCTTGCCCTTTCTTTCATCTGTATAACCCTCCTCCCACGCAGCTGTCTGTCATCCCTTCCAGTCAGTAAGTGGTCACCTCTGGCTTCAAAATACGTTCAACATATCCTTTTCTCCATGTCCATGATCATAGCTCTGGGTCATTTGGTCACTGCTATCTCTACTGCCCAGTCTTTGCTTCCCCAAACTCCCCATTTCTACCCTTCACCCATCCCCTCTGGTTCAATCCTGGGTGCCGTTTTCCTGGCCCTTGACTTTGGCATCGAGCTCCATCAGCCCACGCTTGTTTTTGAATCGCTCTTCCTGTCACGGATGGTGTTCTGGTTGGTGGATACCGTGGCTGTCTCTGTACACCTTTCTAGGTCCTTAGCGAGAGCGTGATGCATTTTTATCCACCCGGTCAAACATGGGAAAGCAGTTGCATGCACTCGCTGAACAAGCCTGGCTGGCTGGCTGGCTGGCTGGCTGTCAGAGGGACTTGATGGCTGCCGGGAATCCGCTAAGTGAGAAGATTTTAATTGTTCCCAGGCTTGTCGCCTCCACCTAATTTCCGCTAATGAGCCACACTCAGAGCAGCGAGGAGAGGTGCGGGATTGGATGGCAGCTCAGTCCCTCGTAATGTCAGATGAATGGCAGTGCTCGCTCCCTGGTATTCCATTTGCCCATGTCTGGGAGCCGGTCTCCATGGATGCTAATTCAATTACACTGGAAACATAGGGGGAAATTGTCAGCCAAATTGCTGCCACAGAGCCCAGCTGCACCTAGCTCACATCCCCAGTGTTGTTTCCTGCTGACTGGGCAGCGCACAGCTTTTTTTTTTTTTCCAGTTGGAGAATGACCAGGGGCTCTACTCCATTTGGCGTGGCTACGTGTTTATTCACAGAACTTCCCACCTTAGATCCCTGAATGAAAAAGAGACTTCGAAAATCTCGATTGCCTTCTCTCCCCTCAAATACTTCGGTACTTTTAATTCATCACAACCAGCAAAAATACACGAGATGGTTAAAAAGAAACTGTAGCTTTCTGCTTATGAGTCTTGTTTGAACACTGGCCCAGGCACTACACTAAGCAATAAGACTCCATCACTGAGGGAAATAGGAAAAAAAAAAAATCCGTGCCTTTGGCAGCTTATTATCCGGGCTCTCTCTTTCTCTCTCTCTTTTTCCATTTAGTTTTTCTTACATTTATTTATTTAGTGTGGGGTGTAGCGTGTGCTGTGACACATGTATGGAGACCTGAGGACAATAACAACAAAAACCCGATGGTCAGGGATTCATATAGACTGGTTGGAGATGAAATAGCATGTCTGAGATTTGCTTTTCAATAATGAATGATTTCGATGGAAGAGATGGTGGGCACACGTGAAGCAAGAATTTCTATGTTTGTTATTTTACATTCTTGTTCCCTCTACCTCTGCAAACTCTCAAAAGCTTCTACAAATACGCCTTTGGAAAAGATGCTGAAATGTCTCTCCAAGGCAACCGTATATGATTGGCAGGTTGTGTGCCATACAAGACTAGTGAGTATTGTCACATTATAGCTGCGATTGATCTGTGTGTTTATTCTAAGTCCTTTGGCTGATGGCAGTACTGTGTTGTTTTAATAAAATTAATTGTACTAGTAGGCAATGTTCATGCTGATCCCCCCTACCCCCCAAGTTATCTCTTCCTTCTGGCACTCATAACCTGTGCCACCACCCCCTGGTGAACAAAATATGCTAAATGTGATGGGGTGTCACTTCTAATATTAAAGGATGAAAAGGCTAGCTTCTGCATGGCTTTGTGTGGTCCTTTCCTCTCCCTCATTCTGATGAAACAAACCGCCATGATGTGAATGACTGTGTGGAAGATTCACAGGGCAGGGAGCATGTCCTCTGGGCAGCAGGTCCCAAGGAAGTGGGTCTTCCTGACAACCTTGGCCTCCAATCATTTCTACATTTCTACTGGAGTCAGGGCAAGACTGCCCACATATCTTTGGACCCCTGACATGGATAGACTCCAGCCTGACTAATTCATACCATTTTCAGGCTGTGGTTACCCACATACAAGGAGAAGCATAGTAGAGGAGAGGAAGCTGCTTGGAGCCCTCCTTACAAAGCTGTGGTCAGGGGAAACTACCTCTCTCCTCCCCCAGGGGAACCGAGACTCTCACTAGGACCACGTGCTCCAACAAAGCCTTTACCTAGTATGACACTCGGACCTTTGTATACTCTGAAGGTGGGTGTGGGACCAAGGGTGCCACGTTATTTTCACCTAGACACTTTGCCAGACCACTGTCTTGCCTATCCGAACAATCTATCACTCTTTTTGAAGACTTCTCTTTGCCTGCGCGGCTTCAGCTGAAACCAAGGCCCACAGCATCTCACTCCTGATACATACAAAACCTCAAGCATGTGCTCACTGCTCAAGACATGGTGCTGACTGCGTTTATGATGTCGTGGGAGATTGCACCCACAGAACCCTTGGGTTTAGGTTAGTCTTTCATTCGCTCAGATCAACGGACTGTGTAAGAAGTACCCCAGACCTGTTCTAAGTTGGTACCAGTAATCTCGCATGATTTCAAAGACCTTTCTCATGGAAGCTTCCTGCTGACCTGAGGACAAACCTGTAAGGAGTATTAAAGACCACATGGATAATGCTGAGTCATCTAGGGTGCTCTAGACCAGTGAGAAAGTTCCATCAAGATCAGCAGAACTACGCTGCTGACCAGAAAGATGTGTCAACTCCACCAAGCCCTGCTCAGATGGTCAAAGCTGCCCACTTGACTAAGCACAAATGTAAGAGTTAGTGTGTGCTACTGAGGGTTTTGTTACGCAGTGTTGGAGGGGCTCGGGATAACTGATACACGTGTGCTGGAATTGCAAATGAGGATGTGGTCTTTGAGCAAAGGACCCTCTCAGATACCAGATGACAAAGTACATCATGGACCTGGGTTTATCCACCTGTCCCTCTGATGGGAAGATCATTTTCTTTCTTGGGCACACTTAACTTCCTTCCTTCTGGACGCATTCCTCCTGGGCCTGTCAAAATCATCCAGAACGCAGTACAGCAGTCAGGGACTTCCTCTGGCAGCTTGTTAGGATAATTGAAATGTGGGTGGGAGGCTTGTCATGCGCTCCACAGTCTTCCTTCCAGGCCTGGAGGAATGGAGAGCTCTGTCACTTCTGGGTGGTTTCCACACCTTTCCAGGCAGATCAAACACGCGGTCTTCACGTGCAATGGAGAAGTAAATGTATCCTACAGAGAGTGATGTGTTTACGGGAGCCCAACAAATACGCACACATCGGGCCCAGCATGATTAGGAAAGGGAGACGGATAAAGGGTGCTTCACGTACTAAAAATCTAGCATTTGATGTCCGCTCTTGACATTCCCCACTCCCCCTTCTAGTCTTTCTTTACTGATCCCCGTCTTTACTGAAAGGATTTTGGAGTCAAAACAACTTCTGTTCAAATCCCAATTGGCTCACAATAATAATAGTAATGATGAAGCTAATTTTTAGTGAGTGATTTTTTTTTTTATCAGCCAAGCTCTGTTCTGAGACATTTAAGAAAACAATCTCATTTAATCCTAGGTAGGAACTGCTCAGCAGCCAGAGCTGATGCCCATTTGAGTTTCCGGCATATATTGAGTGGGCATTGTAGTTCCGACCCGTTTAGTGGGCAGAGGAGTGAGTCCTGTGAGGTTGAGATATCGTTGGTCATCTTCTAGAGGAAGAAATGGAGGCTTTATAGCTGCCCCAGGTTCCTGTGAATACCACTGGTAGGAGGAACCTTATCTAAGAGTGTTGTTTCCAATACCCTTATTTTTTAGGGTTTCTAGGAAAAGTTTAGATATTCATAGTTCAGACTTCAGCTAGGGCCGTTGCTCTGTGGTTGTGTGACTGGCATGTACAAAGCCCCAGGTTCAACTCACAGCACAGAAGAAATAAAATCCTGATAGTCTTAGCGTCGTGGGCAGCTGTGGTAATTACACAAAGCAGAAAAGGTAAATGAATACACTGCCTGGCATAGACTGCCGGTGTGAAGGCCAGGCTTGGATTCATGATCTGAATTCTGGTTGTGGGTCTTTGTTTCCTAAAAAGG